TCTTCTTCACTTAACCCAAATTCACCATTTGAACTTGACCTAACACAGATGTGGAGAAGGACAGAGTATTTAAAAATCTACTACTGTTCTTAAAGACTCCTTTCCGTCTACATTGGCTGGCCAGTCTGCTCACTCACATCCCCAAACACGCACACCCATCACAAGTTTCTGCATCTCGTTACAGCACCTTCCCCGTGGTTGGCAGTAATAGCACACTGCCTGAGGAAGGAAGTGGCCAAGCTGTCCTGTGATGCCTGAAGGCTAATCCAACCAGAGAAGGACTGGTTAGTCACAGACCAGAGCTCAGGGATTAGAGGCTGCTCGACTAGATGGATCGGGTGACACTTGGCAGAGAGCCTCTGGGAGCCAAGATCCCACAAAGAAAACTCAATGCCAAGACTCTTAACACAGACACCCATTTTGCCCATTTACGATGCACTAAGTGTTCATTACTTGACAACAGCACAGCCTTCTCCAGTGAGGATGGGATGGAAAACATCCCTCTAGTAAAGTTCTCACAGTCAAGAGTCTGCGATTCTTTCTTTCCTGGTGTTTTAAGAGCCGCAAAGCTGAGAGCCAAGCAGACGCCGGCGTATTCTCGGAAGTGTTACCATCTGTCTTAAGTGCATAGAAACAGTGCTGGACTGGAAACGAGAAGCTGAGATTGCAATCTCTCCCATCGGGTGTTCATTTCAGAACCAGTAAGATAGCATGTGTTAGACCTGCTGTTGTCCGAAGGGTTGTCATGGGACCCTGATCACAGCAAATGATTTAAACACCATCAACCCTGTGATTCAAGGTCCTCTACTTTCCCAAGGCAAAGCTCCCTGCATTAAAGTAAGGCAGGACACCATAAAACTCAAAAGGATATAGTAGTCTCTGTGAGACAATAACTAACCCTCTATCTCTACCTACCTACCTGACAGAATAAAAATAGATGATGAAGAACAAAGAATACAGCTAGATTTAAAAAAAAAAAAGAGGGGAAATATAGGGCAAGAGAGATGGCTCAGCAGTTGAGCATGGGCTGTTCTTGAAGAGGACCCAGGTTCAGTTCACAGCACTCAAACCAGGCAGCTCATCACTGCCTAGGACTCCAATGCCACAGAATCTGACATCACCCTTCCGTTCTTAAAGACCACTCACACACGTGCATATACACACAAAGAATAATAAACAAATAATTAGGAGAAAATGGAGCCTGTGGAAAATATATTTGAACCAATGGTCCTGAGGCAGACTACCTTGAGTAACAAAACAGACAAGGTTGCTGGGGTCTCTAACCACAGAATAAAATAAGCAGCTGGGACTCTACACTAACACTAATTGGTTGCCTTATTAAGCAACTAATTAACTAGGAGAAGAGACATTTCCTTGTGAAAAATCTTGATTAATGACAGTAGAAAAAACAGATAAATAGCAAAACGCCACTGGAAAATAATAATAATTATATTACTTAATACCCACATGTGTGCGGTAAATTATGGCAAAAATTAGAGTAAATAATGTGATATTTGCGAGGTCTCAAAACAAATCCTCCAAGAATTTATATATTGTAGGGAAGATAGCACCTTTGCAGTATGGAAATCCAGCACATACTTTGTGAACCAAGATATTATGATCAAAATGACCAGTAATAAAAATGTATTGATATCATCGGCCCTATATCATCCACTAGGAAGGACACTGGTATAACTTTTAACGTGTTTTTCATTCATTCTTGCTTGATTGCTTTTTTTGTTTTAGTTTTTGTTTTGAGACAAGGTCTTACTATGCACTGCAGACTGGCCTGGCACTCACTGTGTGAACCAGGCTGACCTTGAACTTAGTGAGATCTGCTTGCCTCTGCCTCCTGAGTGTTGGGATGAAAGGTGGGTGTTATTGCACCAAGCCTCCTTCTAATATATTCTCACCAGAGCTACATAACCTCATCTGACTCATTAGAAAAACCGAATGGTGGACAACCCAAGATTCGGGACATTTTGCAGACTGAAGTGTGTTTTTCCAAAGCACCAATGTCATGAGAAACTAAGAATCTGTCATAATTCACAAGGGACTAAGGAGAGGCTAAGACTGAAGAAGCAAATCATGGAGCAGTTGCTGAACAGTTGTGGGAAATAATGGAGTTCAAATAGAGCCAATGATTTGCTTAGAAATACCACACTGGTGTTAATTTTTTTTGCAAGTTATAGCATAGAAAATAGCACGTGAACAGTTGGAGAAATAGGGTAAAATACATGTGGGAAGTGTATACTATTACAATTTTATGGAAATAAAAATCCATTGCAAATGTAAAAGGTTAAACAATGGAAATTAAAAGTCTAAGATCTTGGTATGGCATTCTGCAACATCAAAAGGTTGGTGCCCAGCCTATACTCTGCAGACAACTGTATAAGGCCAAAGGTCACTATAAATGTGACCCACAAAACCCTGTAAGCTTCCTAAAGCATTGTGAAGTTGTTTTGTTTTGTTTTTCTTTGTTTTATTTTGTTTTGTTTTTGTGTTTTTGGTTTTTTAGTTTGGGTTTTGGTTTTTCGAGACAGGTTTTCTCTGTGTGGCTTTGCAGCCTTCCCTGGAACTAGCTCTGTAGACCAGGCTGGCCTCAAACTCACAGAGATCTACCTGTTTCTGATTTCCAAGTCCTGGAATTAAAGGTGTGTGCCACCATTGCCCAGTTGTGAGTTTTCTGTATGATTTTTTTCTTTGTAACTCAATAGTGTGGTTCTTTGAGCATGAGTTTTGCACACGAATGCCATACTGCAACATCAAAAGGTCGGGTGTGCTTAAGAACACCAAATTATAAATTAATTCAAAAATTATTAATTATTTTCTGAAAAATAATCTTTTTTCATTTTACATACCAATCCCAGTTCCCACTCTTTTTCCTCCTCCCACTCCCTCCACCTTCTTCCCACTCCACCCTCCTTCCACTCCTCAGAGAGGGGAAGGCTTCCCATGGGGAATCAACAAAGTCTAGCTCATCACTTTGAGGCATGATCAAGGCCCTGTCCACTATGTCTAGGCTGATCAAGGTTTCCCTCCAAAATAGGCTCTAAAAAGCCAGTTCAAGCAGCACAGATAAATTCTGGTCCCACTGTCAGTGGTCCCACAGTCTGCCCCAGCCGTACGACTGTCACCTACATTCAGAGGGCCTAGTTTGATCCTATGCTGGTTCCCTACTGTTGGTCCAGAGTCAGTGAGCTCCCTTTAGCTCAGGTAAGCTGTTTCAGTGAGTATCCCCATCATGGTCTTATATTATCGTTTCTTCCTTTCTTCAACTGGACTTTGGGAGCTCAACCCAGTGCTTCACTGGGAATCTCTACATCTGCTTCCATCAGTTGCTGGATGAAGTTTCTATGATGACAATTAAGGTAGTCATCAATCTGATTACAGGGACAAGGCCAGTACAGGCACTCTCTCCACTATTGCTTAGGGTCTTAGCTGGGGTCATCCTGTGGATTCCTGGGAATTTCTCTGGTGCCAGGTTTCTTGCTAGCCCCATAATGGTTCCCTTAGTCAAGATCTCTTTTTCCTCGCTTTGCCTCTCTGTCCTTCTCCCATCTCAGCCATCCTGTTCCATCATGTTCTCCCCCGTCCCTTTCTCTCCTCTTTCTCCCCTTATGTCCTCCCTTCCCCCTCATCCCTACACTCCAATTTTTTTCAGGAAATCTTGTCTATTTCCCCTTCCCAGGGGGATACATGTGTGTTTCTCTTAGGGTTCTCCTTGCTACTTAGCTTCTCTGGGGCTGTGGACTATAGGCTAATTATTCTTTGCCTTACATCTAATATCCACCAATGAGTGAGTACACACTGTGTTTGTCTTTCTGGGTCTGAGTTACCTCACTCAGAATGTTTTTTATTTATAGTTCCATCTATTTGCACGCAAATTTAAAGATGTCATTGTTCTTTTACCATTGAGTAGTACTCCATTAGGTCAATGGACCACATTTTCTTTATTCATTCTTCGGTTGAGGGGCTTCTAGGTTGTTTCCAGGTTCTGGCTATTACAAATAATGCTGCTATGAATATAGTTGAGCAAATGTTCTTGTAGTATTATTGAGCATCCTTTGGGTATATGCCTAAGAGTAGAATTGCTGGGTCTTGAGATAGGTTGATTCCCAATTTTCTGAGAAACTGCCACACTGATTTCCAAAGCAGCTGTACAAGTTTGTGCACTCACCATCATTGGAGGAATGTCCCCCTTACGCCATATCCTCTCTAGCATACATAAGCTGTTATTGGTGGTTTTGATCTTAGCCATTCTAACTGGTGTAAGATGGTGTCTCAGGGGGCATTTTTGTTTGCATTTCCTTGATGACTAATGATGTTGAGCATTTCCGTAAATGTCTTTTGGTTATTTGAGATTCTTCTGTTAAGAATTTTTTGTTTAAATCTGTATCTCGTTTTTTAATTGGATTATTTGGTAGTTCGATGTTTAGTTTCTTGAGTTCTTTATATATTTTGAAGATCAGTCCTCTGACTGATGTGGGATTGATGAAGACTTTTCCCATTCAATTGACTGCCATCTGTCTTATTGACCATGCCCTTTGCCTTTCATAAGCATCTCTTCTTAAAGAAGTTTCAGGAGGTCCCATTTATTTAATTGTGGATCTCAGTGTCTGTGCTGCTCGGGTTATATTTAGGAAGTGGTCTCCTGTACCCATGCATTTGATTACTTCCCACTTTCTCTTCTATGAGGTTCAGTGTGACTGAATTTATGCTCAGACCTTCGATCCATTTGGACTTGAATTTTGTGTATGGGGATAGATATAGATATATTTGTATTCTTCTACAAGTTGATATTCAGTTTTGACAGCACCATTTGTTGAAGATGTTTTTTTTTTCCATTTTATATTCTTAGCTTCTTTGTCAAAAATCAGGTATTCATAAGTGTGTGAGTTAATATCAGGGTCTTTGATTCGATTCCTTTGGTACACCAGTCTGTTTTTATACCAGTATAGAGCTATTTTCATTACTGTAGCTCTGTAATAGAACTTGATGTCAGGGATAGTGATGCCTCCAGAAGTTCCTTTATTGTACAGGATTTTTTTTTGGCTATCCCGGCTTTTTGGTTTTTCCAAAGTTAAGTAATGAAATTGAGTGTTGAATAATGCTGAATTCTAAACCCAAACATAACAGAAAACACAAAAATGTAAAGAACTATTATGTTCAACCACATGAAATTTCAAAAACTTCAAATATGTAACTTAAAGAAAAGGAAAAAATTACAAATACAAGACAGAAAAATATGTGCAACAAAAACATTCTGTTTACTGTCTTTATAGAAAGACAATATTTATATCAATTACTACAATTTACTAATATATTTTAAAATTATTAAATAAGAGAAAAATGAAAGCTGATACTCTACAACATACACATGTGCACACACACATGCACACACACACACACATACACACACACACACACACACACACACAAAGAGCCAAAGCTACGGACCAACTAGTCAGTTGTAAGTAATTATGAGCTAGAATATTAAGGTGGTATCATCTTCATCTAATGGTTTTTAAATTGCAGTAATAATAATACCAAGTAATGAGGGGCATCCAGGAAAAACGGGGAATTCATAAGTGTGAGTGTGGAGATTGCCTGTTGGATCAAGCTTGTGATTTGTATAGGCACTGATTTCCAAGGAAAGGGAAACAGAATGTATATTCAGTGCTGCTTCCTCTCCTGAGAACAAGTGGACAGACTCTCCGGCAAAGTAGGTATGTGTCCCATGATGTCACTGATTTAAGAGGGCTTATTACAGACAGACTCAGATCTGTATACAAGGTCCAAGTCACCTGATAGACCATTATGAGGCCTGTGATTTATTGAGATAGGTATAGAAAAAAGGCTCAAAATAACAACAAAATGCCTACGTTTGAACACCAAGTCATAACTTGATCCATCATGTCTTACTCAGACATCTGGAATGCTAATGATCCAATGCCTCTTACACTAATGAGGAACCTCAAGCAAAACAAATTACTACACAACGATAGTGAGATATCGCCGGTCTGCCATAAACACAGTCCCTACCAAGGGCCCAGAAGACAAGCCCGATTAGCACCCCCTCCAACTGCTCCAGATGCACTGCCAGCCCCTCCCAGCAGCACACTGGGAACTTGTCCCCTGCATTCCTGCAACGGAGTTCAATACAGCCTCTCTTTGTCTGCTCTTGCTTTGGTAAATTCTTTCACCACCCACGTCACCACCCTTCATGATGCCATTTGGTGCCATTTTGCACTGGGATAGGGAGACCACTGGAAAGTTTTGAGTTAGAGAGATTTGAGCTGATTTGTATTCCAGCAAAATCACCCTGATCTCTGTGTTGAAAGGACACAGATGACAGGCACTGGTTAACTACAGAGGTGTAGAGAAGCGGTTAGATTCTAGCCATACTCTGAAGCTAGAGTCAAAGGAATTTCCTCACAGGGTGGACAGGATCAGAACGTAATGAAGATGAAGGGGGTCAGAGGGTGATACAAGCCAGGAATAACAATCAAGTTTTTGGTCATCACAACAGAAAGAATGAATATGAATGCAAAAATATAAATAAATATAAGAAGGACTGTTCCTAAGGAACTGAGACTTTTAACACAGATATAAAGGAGAATACCAGCAGAGCCATCTGGGAGAGTTCAGAATGAACCAGACTTTGGGGAGGGGAAATGAGAGAGGAAGAGAAGAGAGAGAGGACACAGGCTGGCCTAAGAGGCCAGGAGGCCAACAGCACCAAGAGGTAAAAAGGGCAGTGTTGTCAGAATGACTAGGTTGTAGAAGGAAGAGCAGCTGGAAGGGTGGCAGTGAAGCTCGGGGGCTGGAGAGGTTGAGAGTGGAGGGTGGAGTAAGAAGTTCTGAGGACCCAGGACTGGGTAAGAGGTCCACGTTGCTATGTTAATAGGCACCTCAACCTTTTGTCCCCGGGTGGAGTCCTAGTTTGAGACCTAACAGGATAGAGATGCCATTTATTTGAAATTGAAAGACTTGCAGGAGGTTTGGGGGACAAGTGGGAAGAGATACCGGGTAGGTGGTTGGTTATGAGGTCTGGAGTTAAGCAACTCCACCTACCCTGCAACCTGTAGGTTCACCAGCATCTGCCCACATTGGTTCCTGCAATAACTGGTAGTATGCTTTTGGCCCTTTAAGGGGCAAGCCACGCCCACTCCTTGAGACCCCTGACCTCTCCCTGCCATTTTGGATCACTCTCTTACTGTTCCCCTCTTGGAGCACATGGGTCCCCGCCCCCCACTCCCACCCCCGCTTCTCCCCTCTCTCTATCTCCTCCTGGCACACGCCCCCCTATTCTCTCCCACTTTTCCTTCTCTTTCTTTTCTCTCTCTCTCTTTCTCTCTCTCTTTCTCTCTCTTTGCCCCCCTGCTCCCTTTTCCCATCCATAACCCCCTGAATAAATATTCAACATGTTGTGTCTATCCATGTCTCTGTCTCCTGCCCGCCCGGCCGCATTTCCGGCCACTAGCTGCTCGGGGAACCGCCCGGGGATCTTGGGCAGGCAGCTCGGGAACCACCCCGGGGATTTTGCAGCATTTTTAAAAACTGGTATCAGGGAAGAAGTTGCAGAATCAGTTTACACCGACTCTTCCGGCTGTTCCTTTTAATCCTCCCAACTACGTTAAAGATTACCTTCTCCTCATTATTAGATGAGGAAATCAGGACTTAGGAGGCCAGGCACTTCACTTCAGGTCCCATTGCCAGGAAGTGGTAGAGGATGGTTTCAAGGCAACTCCCTCTGCCCCAGTGTTGATCTGAAGAAGGTCTCAACTGCAGTTGATGTGGAGATCAGCTCAAGTGTTGCTCTCCCACACTGGAGTCATGGGTATCCTGCCTACCCAGGCAGTTTTGTTAGCATAGACCTCAGGACTTTGAGATCCTTACCAGTTTCACATCCAGGACTTCCATCAGACGGATCTGGAAACTGTAATGACTTTTAGAATTGTTCATCTCTTTCCGCTGGAGGGGGTCCCAGTGGGAAGAAATCGTTCTCAACTCAAGAAAGGGACTAGCTGCTTCAGAATGTCTTTGGGCAACAAATAGCTCCCACCATCTACTCGGAGTCAATTTAAGATCCTTTAAAATAAATGTTAAATTAAAACCCAACAATATTGTCACAACTACCTCAGTTAAATACACAAACATCTGCAAATCTTAGCACAAAGCAGAGACAGAAAATAATGAAGTAGGTGCACCCTTGAATAAAAGACACCAAATTGCTGCCTTAACTCTTCCCCTGTCTCTCTTTTGCCCCCACCATCCCCACAAATGACAGTGTCACTGTTCTTCCCGCCAAAAACTGGCTTTCAAGCCTAGGAAAGCATCAGAAAGTCCCTGCTGGGCTGCCAGCTGGAGAAGAGATGCAGGCCAGCAAACTCTCAAATGAGCTGTCTCTGTAACAAAAGGTCCCTTTGCCTTGGAATAACTTCAAGGGATCTCACACTGAGACTCCACTGCTCCTTTTGTATTCCAGTTTGATTAAACTGGGAATTGTTCTTTGCTCAGGGCGGTTGAAAACACCAGGTGGTGGATCCTAGCCATAAAGGGTTTTATAGATCCTTTGTCAGAAACAGGCACCCCCATTATATAACTTACACCCCTGTAAAAGCGAGCCAGGAGCATCGCATCGCAGACAGCCTAATGGTTATACACAGGAAAAAAAAAGTCAATAAATCCAATTTCCCATTCTTTCATGGCTAAAGATTACTGTTGGTGATTAAACACAGCCTACCCACTGGGTAAAAGTGAAAAAAAATTTTTTAAAGTTGCTTATACTTTGTGTATATGTATGAAATTGTCAAAGAATAAATAGCAGCTATCCTACAAAACGAGCATTCAAAATAAAGTAAGTGAAAGTAAAGAGGGAACGAGTATATGTAAGATCTGACAGCAGTTCTTCGGAGATTCTAAAGTTCACATAGAAGCTAAAGACTAACCTTTCTGGCCATAAACTAACCACAGCCTGACTCTCTCAGGACTTGTCCCAGCCCCTCATGCACTGTGTCATTTGTGTAAGGTGTTTAATAATAACTGTAAATGACAGTGATTGCTTATTAAGAACGTCCTTGTAATTATGTCAGTCTTTGATTGTCACATGGCTACTTCCTGCATGGTGACTTAGGTCCACACCCATTGACTGTCTCATAGCTCTACAGTTCAGCAGTCTATGCCTCTTGGCTCACAGTCCCACGAGGTTGAAACTGAGATGTCAGCCAGCCAGGCAGTTATCTGGAGGTTCTGGGAAGAACTGACTTCTAAGCTAATCCATGATGCTGGCCCAACGTAGTTCCTAGTTGCTATAGGGTTGAGATTTCTATTTCTTTGCTGGCAGTTCAGTCAGGGTCTCTTTAACCTCTTAGATCTCCCCACATTCCTTCTCATTTGCCACACCATCTTCAAAGCTACCAGCAATGTTCAAGTCTTTCTCAGACTGAGAATCTGATTTCCTCCTCGGCCAGCGGCAGAAGAAGGCGCTCTGCCTTTAAAGGGGCTTCTGTGGTTAAACTGATCACTCCCAGAAAATCTTTCTGTCTTAAAAGCAACTGGACCTGCCCTAACACAGGAGGGCCAGCTCACCATGTTCTTAGGTTCTCCAGGGCAGGGCATCACAGGGGCCACATTAAAGAAATCTCTGCCTAGCCCGGTGGCAGAGATTGTTCAAGGGTTTTTACTTTCAATAATTTATCAGCATTTACAGCAATGCCATGATCCCACCAATAAGGTGGAGCCTGTTATCGTCTCCACCTTTCAGCTGAAGCCCAGACAGTAAATCATTTGCCAAGATCTCCCAGCTCCTAATGGCAGGACCTAGATCTCGCCTTGGTAGGAGGGCCTCACAGTCTCACCTTTCAGCAGCCATTCTACGTGGCTTTTAAATCAGCGATTTCCGGAACTAATGCGTGAATAATTGATTTGGTGTGGGACCAAGAGACAACCCTGAGGATGAGCTAACTCCTTGATGTATATGGAAATTTTTGTGTGTAAGTTCTTCAGTGGATTATTCTGGAAAGGAAGTCCACCAAGTCTCAAAGACAGGGTCTTAAAGAACTGCAAAGACTGAGTACCCCACAACAGAAGTTCCCCTTTTCAAGCTTCTGGTGCTAGTGAGCAGAAACACTAAAGCATGGACTAGTAAACATTTGAGGCCAGTGAGGGAATAGGGAGGCCCCTTTAGAGAGCGCTATAGACAATCCCTGCTGGAAATCACTTCCTTAGGTGAGCCGACTGCTCTCCAGGGCAAATACTGATGGTTGGGCAAGACTATGTCAATATGCTAATAATATGTTAATTTGGATTCTAGAGTCAAAAAAAAATTTGCGTTCAGAACATTGCCAGAAAGGAGAGCAAAAATCTTTCCTCACATCTGAAATGTACCTGCTGCCCACTCTGGGGCTTGTTGTCCTTGTAGTGCACAGCAGCCCTGTTGTTCAAATAGCACGGAATTTAGTCAAGAAGTCTTGAGTTCCAAGGCTGACTTATTCCTTGTGTGACTTTGAACAAGTTGATTACTTCCTGAATTTTATATATCCAAACTGTAAAATAGAAAGAACAATGTCTACCTCACAGAGATTTGAATAAAAAAATTGAGACTTTGAATAAAAAACTGGCAATAAGATACTGAATAGTTGAAGGGTAGTGTTGGCACACTACTTTAATCCCAGCACTCGGGAGGCAGAGGCAGGCGGATCTCTGTGAGTTCGAGGCCAGCCTGGTCTACAAAGCTAGTTCCAGTACAGGCTCCAAAGCTACACAGAGAAATCCTGTCTTAAAAAAACAAAAACAAACAAACAAAAGAATGAGTGGTTCATGTTCCCATTTACAGATCATAGCTATAATACAAATTCCCATGCTGTTATTGTACCAAGTACCCAATGAACTGATGGGCTCCCACAGACACTTTGCAATGAGGTTACATCCCCCAGTGAATATTTAAGATGAACAGTGGTTTAGGTAAAAGAGATCAAGAAACCATGTCCGGGGAGACAGCTCAGATAGTAAAAGCACTTATGTAAAAAAGCCAGATACAGTGATGTTTACTGGTAATCCCAGCACTCCTACCATGAGTTGGGTGGTAGAGAAAGAATTAGCTTGGGAGTCAGCTAGCCTGGAGCTTACTAGATAACAGCAGGAACAAGAGGGACCTTGTGTCCACAAGGTCTCAGGTGAGATTCAGTTCTCAAAAGTTGTCCCTTGTCCTCCACATGCACACTGTAACATGTGTGCACTTGCGCACACACACACATACATAGACAACAACAACAATAATAAAGAAGTTACGTGCCCTCTTCTAATTGCAGTGCAGTGGGAGAGGGCAACGGGGAGTACATACGGCCAACATAAACCATATACATGTGTGAAAATGCCATAAAGAAATCCATTATATATAATTAGTCTATGCTAATAAAAAATCATTAAAAGAACTTTAAAGAAACTGTGCATCATTCATTAGGCTTCTACTGAGCAAGCATTTTACTAAATGAAATGCAGTTAATGAATAAAATGTAGTGCCAAGATCATATTTTGAGAAAGAAATGGAGGTAAAGAAAAATCATTTGCATAAGTAGAATAGCTAAATGCCCAATTTGTATATTCCTTCTTTCAGTACAGTGGGTTAGGCCAAGCCAAATATGTTCAAGCATGGCATGTATAAGTGTCAGGGTCAAGATGGCCAGACAATAGGAGAGAAGAGATGATTTGGGATAAATACTGAGATTTAGTTGCATCAGATAAAAAATGGTAAAATATTCTTCTCAAATTACCATAAAGAGATGTCAGCATCAAGCCAAGGGTTATAGATCATTCTCAAAATATGCATGCACTATATACAATCTACAGCTAAGATAGGCACTAGTGTTTGCTATGAGCAGTCTCTCTTGTGACATGTTGATTTTGGCTTCTGGAGACCCTGCATAGGAATTTAGCCAAGCCAGTTCAGACTTCTGAACACACCAAATGGGAGAAAGGGGATGGGTGTTGCTCTAAGGCAAGAGATTTGTGGTAATTTTTTACACAGCAGTTTGTCTCAACACCTTTCCAGAGTTAACAGGAAGTGACCTGCAGAGGTTACCTCAACATAAAAATAGGACCTAGAATCCATCATATTCTGGGAGGCGGAACAAACAGCAATGGCTGGAAACCCAGAAGATCAGAGCGTTTAGAGGTAGGCAACATACCTTCTCTCTCCGTCGTCCCCCAGCACAGGAGCTGCCTTTGAGTTGGGCTGACAGGCATGCAAAGCACTTCCTGAGAGCGTGTGGAAGACTTGCATGCACTATGTGAAGCACAGGTGGTACTCAGCATGGTTAAACAAATTTTTGAGATCTTCATTACCCACGCAGAGTCTACCTCTCTCTTTCTGCACCCTACTGTCTTCAATACCAGTGAGGAATTGACTGCCCAAATATCACTCAGTGGAAGGGAAAAATTATCTGTACATTTAAGCGCCAAGAGAATGGCAGCAAAGGATGATTGAAAGCTCAACTTGACCATTTAGTAGCCTGGTAAGCTTGGACAAGCCTAGTAAGTTCTTTGTGCCTGTTGCAACATCTCTGTGCCCCTAGTCACGTGTGACAAACAGTGACAAACAGAGACTGAATACATCCTTGTCCAGAGAGCATTCATAGAAAGCAGGGATAGAGTCAGAAATAACCATGTCCTCCTATAGTTTCCCGGCTGATCTCCTGCTCAAAGACACAAACCTACCCCTAATAGTCCTCCCCATTACCCCCATTCATATTTCTAAAAACCATATCTGCTCTCTTTTTCCCTTGTCCAAATCCTCCAATCCTCTGGCACCTCCCACAGAAATGTATCAAAACTTCTAGCATGGATTCCAATGTCCTCCCATGCACCCCATGTTGAATGCTTATCTCTTCTGGGCCTAGGGACCAGTTGAAGACAAATAGTGCTTGCTAAGAAATGTAGCTCTTGTTCGCTGAGCCAAAAGATGACTCACCTGCTTGCTGCTAAACCCCCTTTAGAAGCTATGAAAACTTGATGTGGGGGGGGGCATTACATAGCATCATGTCAAGTAGAACTTAGCATGGAACCTGGAAGATCCATTCTGGGAATGAACA